ACTGTTTTTGGCATATTGAATACGTCATGGGTTGCTTGCCAGGCTTTGCTGTGTGGGTGAGATACTCTAGGTAGCTTGCTGGGCTCTCTGAGAGGGGCTGAGTAATTGAACTGGGATTGGCCTTGGCCTCATGCAAGGCAAACGCTCTACCCACTGTGCTATTGTTCCAGCTTACTTGGGATCACATATACATTAAAATATCACTGGCAGGGGGTAAGTGGCTGTAGAGATACTGCAGTGGGCAAGACTCTTGCTTTGCATATGGCCAGCCAGGTTCAATGCCCAGCACCCCATATGGTCCCTGAGCTTGCTAGGAGTGATCCTGAAGTGCAGAGCTAGAAGTAAGCACTGAGCAGCACCAGGGGTGCCTTCCCCCTTTCCAGTCCTCCCCCCACCCCCCCAAAAAAGTCAGTGCAGGCTTTTGTAATTAATAGAATCTCACACCCAAGCAAAATCGTACCCTCATTTGTGCTCCAGGATTATAAGACCTTCCACTTTAGGAGCACTTGGTAACAAATGGAATGGAATTCTGCTAGTGCTGAACTGGATCCATGTGGACAGAAGGTTCTGAGTTAGAAACAGCTTCTCTGTCAGGAGACAAAAAAGACCCTATGTCCTGGAAAATGAGAAGAAGAGTAGTATTTTATCCCCCCGCCCAGTGGGACCAGACAGCCTGCCCTCTGTAGAACTAAGTGCTTCCTTGACGGCATGCACTTCTTCCAGATCTTGCCTGTCTGTCCCTCTTCCAGTCACTAAACACTATGATAGCATATTGGGTAGGGCCTTGCATGTGACTGATCCGGATTGATTCCCAGCATCCCATATGGTCCCCGAGCACTGCCAGGAGTAATTACTGAGTGCATGAGCCAGGAGTAATCCCTGTGTAATGCCAGGTGTGACTCACCAAAAAAGCAAAATAAATAAATAAAAAATAAACACTTTGTTAAAAAGCATGTCCAACATGACCACTTGAAATAATCTCTGTTTTCGTCCTTAACCCCAGTTAATCTTGAGGTAAAGGCCAAATGCCTAATACAGTTTACAGCACCCTACCCTTCATCCATAATCATCTTTTCCAAACTGATTCACTTTTCATCTTTATGCAACTTTCATGAACATGAACTTGATACTTGGAAGAAGCCTGGTATTGCTCATACTTGCTTCCTCTAGGAACGCCCCTTTCCTTCCTCCCCACCGCATGCCTATCTGTGGAAAATTTCAACTACTATCCACAGGCTGTCACTGATTTTCAGGGTCTGTCCTCTTGTCATAGTGCTTACATTCTAGTGATCACCTCCATTTGCCTGTCATCTCCATTTCCCACTAGCACTTAAAGCACCAGAAGGCCAGGGGCAAGTTCATTTGTTCATTAAGTTAGTAAACATTCATAACAGCAAGCCAGGTTTGCCTCTGCCTTTTAAAGGTAGTTTTGCAAAGTTGGCTGAAAGATGAAATTATCCACAAAGTTAAACCATTATTGTTGGGTCTGAGCAGCCAAAGTGGAAAATATTGGGGGTTCCTGATTTACCTGTGGCCTCTTAGATGCCTGAGAAAACCATATGTGTTCTGACTGACCAACCCCCCAGATCTGTTTTTGTCCACAGAGACAAATTATACTTGACCTCAGCAGTGGTTTGATCATGGAACACCTTGTACTATCAACAGATGGCAAAAACCGTAATAGTTCTCAAGATGGGTTTGCACAAGAATAAAATCCCTTTCCATACTCACAGTGCCATATTATGCTCTTTGAACAATGGTAAGATGGCATTTCCACATAAATTTAAATAATAGGAAAGGTACTCTGATTTTTTTAAAATTAAACCATTGTACATTTTCTGCCAAAAAATGTTAGTAAATAGCAGTGATTTTTAAGGTGCCATCAAGTTTGGCACTAATCCATCTTTGATGAAAACTAGAGTTGGAGTTGAACATCTGTCTTCTCAGAAGGAGTTGCTTGTGACCTGCTCCACCATCAAATGTTTATTTTGAGGGTTTAGGTGATCAAACAGAGTTTTTGTCTTCTTGTGGTTGTGTGCCCTTCTTTCATAATACAAAGCCAATTTGTTTTGTTTTTGTTAAGCTGGTACCTATCAGGTGATTATTTGCCAGTTAGTCTGAGAGTTAATATGAAATGGCTTTTTGGATTTAATTCAGTTCCATTAGGACAGAGTTAAAATTTTGTGATACAGGGACTATTATCCTGGTAGTTGTAAGGGATTTTTGTGCTGCGAAGCAGTGCTGACAAAGACGGCCCTGTGTGTGCTCCGTCTATAACTTGAGCACTTTCACACTGCAATTTAGGAGGCGTGCAGCTCAGGAAATTGCTGGCTTTGGCTGGAGCATACTTAACTGCAAGGAAAATTTTATTCGTCACTCAAGTAATTGGCAGTTTTAATACCTTGTTCATAATTACCTTATAAATAAGAGAATATATAAACCAAAGATTGTATGGCCTGTTATCTGGCTTGTGAGCTTTGTTTGACCAGCATGACCTGCAGGTCTCCTTCTCTTCACAAGCAAAACAAAAAGCAGTTTGCTCTGTTTATTGCATAAATCCACAATTGAGTGTTTTCTTTCTTGACAATAATTCTGAGTGTAGCTCTACTGGCCTCACACAGCCTAGGGACCAAAACTAGATGCAGAATTTGATGGGAGGCAGCAGCTAGGGACAGGGGCCAGGGAAGAGGGGAGGGGTACTTAGGCACTCCGGACACTTCAGGGTTACTTCAGAATTTGTGGGAGGACATCCTGGTAATGCAAACATTTGGGTTATACATTTAAGAGAAAATTGTTTTGTCCCCTACAGCCTGATTTTATTTAACCCACACACCCTGACCTTAAAGCCCTGTGGCTTCTCTCTTGGACTGACTCCATCTCCTGGACCTAGAAATTGACTAATTGCCTCACTTGCGTTGCCCTGTATGTCACAGCTAGATCAAGGAATTTTAGACATCGATGCATACTGATGTGGGAAATGGTTAAAATCAGAGGACATGGCTGACTTGACTCTAAACAAAGGTGGTAGAATTTTATGGCAATCCGAAGAGCTTGATATTTGTGACTTGTGCATAGAACTGCTAATACATTTCTTTTTTTAGCTTTACTATTATCACAAATGAAGCTGCAAAGCTGGCATCTTAAAGTATACAGTGCTTATGCTTGTTACTTTAAAAAATAGGGCAGCAAGGCCAGAAAGGTAGTATCAGATTAGGTGCTTGCGACCAATCTTGTTGTGATTCCTGGTACTCTATATGGTCTCTTTTTGTACTTACAGAAGTGACCCCTGAGCATAGAACACAGGAGAAACTCTTGGGAACCATTGGGAGTGACTCAAAACCACTTCCTTCTCTAAATGGGGTAGATTCTTGGGTGATTTGAATCGAAATAAATGACTCTACTTCCACTCCTATCCTACCATTACAAGTAGCATTTGGAGGATTTTAGTATGTTGAGGCTTGTTAGTTGTTTAAATTGAAATTTATAATCCATCTTTCTGCCCTTATTATTCTTTCTTCCTGTGAGAACTGCAGGTGACATTTGTACCCATTTTGGCAGTTGGACTTTTGCTCTGGGGGATGCCCCATATGCAGCTGTGGAGGGCCCTAGGAGCAGTAATCTTCAGTGTGTGCCACATTCGTTTGAAATCTGAAGTACAGCATTCTTGCAAGAGCAGGAAATAGTGGGGATTTTCAGAGGTGATCATCACTGGCCAAAAGATCTCTGAAGCACTCTTCTGTGAAATTAGCCTTCTGGGGATTGCTTTGGCTCTAATTCAGACTTATTCTGGAGGTGATTTGGAAGAGTTTGTACTCGTTAGGCTAAAAGTTCTCTTTTCCCAAAATTATGTAGCCTCAAGAAAGGTCATTGTGATTAGATGGCATAGTATATGAAAAAAAAATGCTTCGCTTTGGCCTTGGTATCTAATATATACTTAATATGATCATATTCTGTATACATTCTAAGGCAGAGGGGTGGAAGATCTATTGCTGCTTCAAAGGCACTTACAGGATGGCAGAGAGGGCACACAGGGTAAGTGCTGTGTCAGAATGCAGCACAGGATTTTATGAAAATGCATGAGGTTTAACTGATTCAGGAGCATTCTAGGGATTCTAAGCCCTGTGAATTACAGTAATGAGAATAAGCTTTCTAAATCTAGAGCACTGTAGGAGTACAGTGTTGACAAAGGAGATTCAGATTTGAAATAGGTGGTTTTTTTTCCTTCCATTTTCATTGAAGCACCGTGATTTACAATACCGCTAATGATAGAGTTTTGTTTATACAACATTCCTACACACACCCTCCACCAGAATGTCTGCTTCCTTCCTTCAGTGTCCCAAGGAATCCTTTCCTTCCCACCACCCCCCAACCCCCATGCCCACCTACCCCCTCATACTCCCACTTAAATTCAGTTCTGTAGACCAACTCGCAGTAGTTCTAAAATAAATTTATAAATTAATGTTTTCATGTATTTTAATGTTATGATTTACTACTTAATGCAGTTCAGGTGATCATAGTATAGTGGATGAAATGATATCTTTTTTATTTTTTGTCATTTGATTGGGCTGGAGCAATAGCACAGCGGTAGGGCATTTGCCTTGCACGAAGCCAGCCCGGCCAAGCCGGGTTTGATTCCTCTGCCCCTCTCAGAGAGCCCGACAAGCTACTGAGAGTATCTCGCCCACAGGGCAAAGCCTGGCAAGCTACCCATGATGTATTTGATATGTCAAACACAGTAACAAGAAGCCTCAAAATGCCTCAAAATGGAGATGTTACTGGGCCCGCTTGAGCAAAATCGATGAAGAACGGGAGGACAGTGTTTGTTGTTTTGTTTTTTTTTTTTGTCATTTGATGATTAAAGTTGAAATATTTAAAGTTGAAATATTCTGCACGAAGTGGTTTTACATACTTCTGAAAGACAAGCTGGGAATAGATAATATTTTTCACCTTTTCAATTGCTGTTCCTCTCACCATGTGTGTTTGCTTTGATTTGCTTTTAGAGCAGGAAACAGGATTGTTGAAATACTACCTGAACATTTGAGGCAGTTTCAATCCTTAGAAACTTTGGACCTGAGCAACAATAATATTTCAGAACTGAAAACTTCATTTCCACCCATGCATCTCAAATATCTGTAAGTCAGATATATATATATATATATACATATATATATATATAAATATATATATTTTTCTTTAACCAAACCTTGCAGTCATCATGAAAATGTTATAATTACTAAACACCCTCCCCCCCCAAAAAAAAAACAATTTTAAGGTATAATACATCCTGCCAGTTTTACAGCTGATCTTCAAAAATGTAACTTCTTACTGGTATTTGAAACAGTCCTGAGTAATCACAATCTTCATTTTAGTCTTACATTTTTGTGTTACATGAGGCTGGTCTGAGTTCGGTCTCCAGCATCCTATATGGCACCCCAAGCACTGCCCGGAATAATTCCTCAGTGCAGAGCCAGGAGTAACCCCAGAGCATCACCAGGTGTAATCCCCCACCCCCACCCCAACACACAAATAAAACTGGACGTATCCTTGGAAAACTAACTGGACGTATCCTTGGAAAGCTATATGGGTTAACTGTGTTTTTAAATATATATATATATGTATATATATATATATATATATTACATGAAAGTACTGATGTTTCCTTAATAAATTTTATTAGAAAAATTGAGTAAATATCTCTGATGGATTTTTGTACCTTCATATATTTTAGTCTCTCTTCAATAAGATTGAATCATTGTTTCATTGTCAACACTGGTTCATAAGCACCTAAGGAAGTACTTGTGTGTGTGGTGCTGGATATTAATCCTAGGGCCCCACATATACAAAGCAATTGATTCACATTTCACTCTAACCTGTCTTCTTTAAGTGTTCATTTTCACATTGAAGACCAGGTCCTCTGGAAATTTTTCTTGGGGGGGAGGGGCAGTGTAGTGGAGGGTTACATCTGATGATCTCAAGGACTGCTTACAACTCTGTGTTTGGGGTTCCCTTTAGTGCTTGAGAGGATTCATGTGATGCTGGGGATTAAACCCAGGCCTCCACGTGCACAGTATGACCTCAGCTGATTGAGGTCCCAGAAGGAGTTTCTTTACATCGTACAAAGTATGAATGCACTTGGAGTTCCCAAAATAAACCAGAAAGAAAAACAATATCTTCAAACTTTCCACAGGTATATCAACAGCAACCGAGTCACTTGGATGGACCCTGGGTATTTTGACAATTTGGCCAACACCTTAGTGGTATTGAAGCTGAATAGGAACCGGATATCAGCTCTCCCACCCAAAATGTTTAAACTGCCCCAGCTGCAGCACCTGTAAGTAAAGCCCCTTCTTAAACAGTGTCTCATCATCTCTGCTAGGCCTTTGGCGTCTGTCCTCAAAAATCCACAATGGAGGAGAAGTGCAGAGACAGGAAAGGGAGCACCTTTCTTTTGCGGGCCTGCCTGTCTTGTAGAATCTTCGAAGCACCCAGACCCCTAAAAGTCACCTGGTCCCAGCTTCTGCCCGATGAGGCACATTAGATTGTTACTGGAGGCATGAAGAAAGTAATCAGTGACCAGCCTCCTTATAAAGGAGTCATTGTGGCCTGGCAGAAGGAGTGGGGACTCTCGACAGCCATGGTTTATGAGAATAATACCGACAACTGCAGGAGACTCTGATCGCTTAAGTGGCTATATTTACTGTCTCATTAATAATGGTAGAAGGATCTGTGAACAGACCCCTGCAGTATAGTGCTTTTCAACCTTGGCTGCACATTACAGACACTTGGGGAGCTGTTAAAAATCCCAGTACTCAGACCACACCCCAGAGCAATTATATTAGAACCTCTGGGGACAAGATGCAGGCTTCAGAAATTTTTAAAACTCCCTGGGTGATTCTAGTGTGCAACCAAGGCCGAAAACTACTTCCTTAAAGAGAAAACATTCAACATGAAAAGAATTGTGAAAGAGAGCCAGCTTCTAGAAGCAGCCAGGACAGGATCAACTTGACAACCCTGCTCTTAAAGTAGACCTCATGTTTCAGCATTAGTCAATATTCTCATTGTGAACAATTAAAAAAAAAACCAGTATTTGTTTGCATCTACGCTGGCTGGGCCAGGTATTGTCTCTTTTCAGTATTTTATTATTTTGAAAATCTTATCACACATTTCAGAAAGAGACACAGCTAATCAAAAATCTCACTAGAGTTTCAGAAACTTCTAAAATAGTTTATATGGTTTCACACTATTGGTTTAACAATGTGTATAAACATTACATTTTATAAGTGCCTCCAGAATTTCATATAAGCTAATTTTTAAGTGTTCTTTCCAATGCAGTGAGTTGAATCGGAATAAGATTAAAAATGTGGATGGACTCACATTCCAAGGCCTTGGAGCTCTGAAGTCTCTGAAAATGCAAAGAAACGGAGTAACAAAACTTATGGACGGGGCTTTTTGGGGACTGAGCAACATGGAAATCTTGTAAGTGTGTTTATCAATATGTCTATGTCTACTCTGGTAGATCAAATTGTACGTTTGTTTTTATTTCAATTCCCATTAGAATTGCATAAATTGCAATCATAAAACTTTGCTGTTTAGTGTTGTTCTGGTACCTGAGAATTTATAAGCATGTGGTATTATTGCAGATATCTTTATATAAAAGAACTTAACCATCTAGCAACAATAGGAAGATGGGATAGATTGTAATCATGTGTTCCCTTTGAAGAAAGGAGATAACAAACTTTTGATCCTGCTTTTGATTCTTACTGTCAATGTAGGCAGCTGGACCATAACAACCTAACAGAGATTACCAAGGGCTGGCTTTATGGTTTGCTGATGCTGCAGGAACTTCATCTCAGCCAAAATGCCATCAACAGGATCAGCCCTGATGCCTGGGAGTTCTGCCAGAAACTCAGTGAGCTGTGAGTCGCCTTTTATTCTCAGGTTTGGAGCAGGGATCATGCCAGAGCATGAACTTCTTACCACTGATCTGTGAAATTTTCATAATAAAGTTTCCAAGGTGACAGTTTTTTTTCTTTTATTTCACATGCAACCTAGACACATTTTGGTTGTGATAAGTTGAGGCCAGCTCTTTTTTCCAGTTCTGTTTTGTGGCACTTAGACTAAAGCAATGATAGTAATTTTCAAGTAAAGAGGATGCTCAATGTTGGGTCTTGTTATTGTGTTGTTTTTATTTTTGGTAATTGCTGGGATTAGAACAAATGTTCTCCTGGGTGTTTTGAAGGGAGAGTTTTAAAATGAGTGGTGGTGTGGTTATCTAGATAACCAGTTTTCAGAAAACAAATTATGTTGACTTGAAAAATAAAGCTGTTATTTGTTTTTTGTTTTGTTTTTCTTTCTTTACAGGGACCTAACTTTCAATCACTTATCCAGGTTAGATGACTCAAGCTTCCTGGGCCTAAGCTTACTAAATACACTGCACATTGGGAACAACAAAGTCAGCTACATTGCTGATTGTGCCTTCCGGGGGCTTTCCAGTTTAAAGACTTTGTAAGTTACATATTTTGCTCTCTGTTCATGAACCTAATTGGTTCCTAAATGTGCCCACTTTTCCCCAAGCAGATTTCCTTTGTTGTGAAGGAAATGTGGACCGCCTTAGAAGTAGTGTCTTAATCTTTCCCAGATCAGTTTGATTAAAATAGGCCCATTTCATCCATATGTGTTTCTTAAAGGGATTAAGAAGGACAGTGATCAGATTGTTTTTGGTGATTATAGTTAGCCTTCTCAGGATCCAGGAAGTTGGTAACTGCTCAAAAGGGAAACAATATTAAATCCACTAATTTTTTTTTATATAATACAGATTAAAAATTACTCAGCAGAAAAGATACACAAAGGATAAACAAAGGAAGGCTTCTGCTTATCACACTGCTTACATATAGGCTTGATCTCTGTCCTGGGGGAAAAAAGGAGAGAATTGGATTAATTGAATTTGGTTTTAAAAAAAAAAACTCTCAAATATTAATTTAATGTTGTGTAATGGACTTTTGAATTTTTTGCACTGTCAGAAACTTTTGCTCTGTTCACAATTTGAAGCATTACATAATTGCAAGACATGCTGTATGCTTTGGCAGACTCCTGCTGGGCCAGTTGGAACAGTGGTTTTCAAGTTTAATGTATTTTTCAGATTTTTCAAATCTTTGTGAGTTTAGTCATGTTGACAGAAGAATTAATTGAACCAAACGCAGCTGTTCTGATTTTGAGTGAAAAACTTAAAAAGTTCTTGAGGGGGGGCTGGAGCAATAGCACAGCGGGTAGGGTGCTTGCCTTGCATGCGGCTGACCCGGGTTCGATTCCCAGCATCTCATATGATCCCCCTCGAGCACTGCCAGGAGTAACCCCTGTGCATCACCGGCTGTAACCCAAAAAGAGAACAAAAAAGTTCTTGAGGGGAGATGCTGAGATGCAAGGGTATGATCTTGGCAAGAAGGCATTTTCAATTATTTTGAAAAGGGCAGAGACAGTGTGAGGTACTTATTCCAAATTACAGGCCACATAGGTGTGATTTCTGATGGTATCTCTAAAGAAAACACTTGTATTTGAAAAGAAATGCAACATTACATTTGAATGGAAATGTACCCCCATTTTCAATTAGGGATCTGAAGAACAATGAAATCTCCTGGACCATTGAAGACATGAATGGTGCTTTCTCTGGACTTGACAAACTGAGGCGACTGTGAGTATGGTTTGCCTCAAATTTAATGGTTTGGTTTTGGTTTGGGGGTTGCATCTGGCAGTGCTAAGGTACTCTCTTGGCTTGCTTCTAAGGGTTATTCAGAGACCTCAAAACTTTTGGCTACAGAATGCAAAGCAAGTGTTTCAGTCCTTTGAGTTATCCCCCTGGTTCCCAGGAACTTAATTGAAGTCAGTTCCTCACATTGGCACCTTTAAGGGTTTAGAAATAGGTGGTCAATCTGGTTGGTTGCTCCTTTGTCATTTCATTGGTAAAGGTAAAGGTAAAGGCCCTCCCGTTGATCGTCGATTTGCTCGAGCGGGCCCAGTAACGTCTCCATTGGAGACTTTGTTGTTACTGTGTCTGGCATATCGAATACGTCACGGGGAGCTTGCCAGGCTCTGCCGTGCGGGCGAGATACTCTCGGTAGCTTGCCGGGCTCTCCGAGAGGGGCGGAGGAATCGAACTCGGGTCGGCCATGTTGCCCGCGTGTAAGGCGAACGCCCTACCCGCTGTGAGTACTATTATACAAATTGTGTATTAATTAGCTTTTTTCCTTAAATATTGTGGTTTTATTTAACACTTCTGTTAGTGTAACTTATTTTAATATGTGGCAATGCTTACTGAATTCATTATTTAGAAAGTTTTGGTGTTGCACTCTACCCCTCAAGAACTTTTTTGTTCAGGGAACTTAATATATGCTGATAAGACTACAAGCAATACAGGATAAAAATATATATATGTCTAGTCATCAGTTGGCTTTCACAGATGGCCAAAATCTGTTTGAAGCATGTGGTTTTCTGATTGAGTTATAGTCAGCCCTAAATTTCTGTGCATGGTGAAGGGATCTGTGGGGAAGGAGAGCAGGAACAAGTCTCCACTCTCAACTGTATTATTTATTAGAGTGTTGAGACAGTATACTCAGAATAACATTTTTCCTTCTTCCTAAATGGAACCAAAAACTACTGCTTTATTTTTTACCTTCAGAATAGTTAATTGAATAACAGGATGTTTTTGTTGTTTGTTTGTTTTTTCTGGGTTCTCTAATGCCTTATAACTATGCTAAACTCCATTACTAGAGACACATATGGATACACAATAGAGAGTGTAGATACACTGTGACAGTGTATGTGACAGTGTAACTGAAGAAAATAGTTACTCCCTCCTAGTACTTCTATAGAATGGAATTAAATATTTAAAAAGCATTTTTTATGATAATTCCATCGCAAGTGTCTTCTGGTAACTGTCTTAATGTATTTCTCCTTCCCACAGAATACTACAGGGAAACCGCATTCGATCTATTACCAAAAAAGCCTTCACTGGTTTGGATGCATTAGAACATCTGTAAGTACCTTGCACTTAGTTACCCTCATGATTATTTTCTTATATATCATCAAAGGTCCAACACATTGTCTTTGTATCATCTCAGTACCATAAAATGTAGTTACACATTCACCTATTCTCCACCCCCACTTACATACCTATGAGTCTCTGTGCCCGTCTATAGCTACGTACTTTCCTTTGTACTTGAGGACATTGCTGCGTATCATGCTGGGGTTTGTGTTTTCTTAAGTATGTATATAGAAAGAATATACTTTAATTCTTAGAAGGAAACTGTTCAATAACTGTCATTAAGTTAAGTAAGGCCTTGACTGTTTATTGATTCTATTGAGAAGGTGACTGGGATTTTAAGCATAGAATTTCCATAGTCCCTCAAGTAACTTTAGTATCACTGTTTTGAGAACTCTGGTTAGTTAGCTGTTGTTTAATTATAAAATGTGCACCCTCTTCTTACTTGATTCATTATTTTCCTCTTTGGTTAGCCCCTCAGTTAACTACTTTTTTTAACAACTAATATTTAACACCTAGTAGAAGCAGATTTCAAACTAAGTTTCGTAGGCTCTGTCAGTACCCATGCTCTTGTCTTCACAATCTTTATTCCCTCCCTCCTCAGAAACCCCAGGCGTACACTCCTGCCTTTCAAGGCTCAGTTACCTCAGCCATTCGAAGAGTGAGCTAGTTTTTACATATGCCAAGCCTTTGTGAACAGTGACCCAGCCAACTGCTTCTAATCAGGGGCATATAGAGCAATTATACAGCAAAAGTATAAACCAGTATAAAATAGATCCCCTCTGTAAGGAATACTGATGGCCACATGGTTTACTGTTAGCTTGTTCAAAAGAGCAGCAGTTTTAAAATGCGTATTTGATTTGCACCTTCATTTGTGCTGTGTATTGAGAGCCAGTTAGTTGTGACCTAACCACCTTACCTAGGACTTCCCTTGAGGAGTTCGCCCTGCTTGCCACACGGACAGTGCAGCAATTCAGGTTGTGATGGTATGATTCTGCAAAACAGAATTTGGAAGGGTGGACCAGTATAGCTAGACTTACTAAAACAAATTATTTTCAAGGGGAAACTTGCCAAAAGAGTTTGTTATCTGATCCCATCCAGTTCTGGGAAAGTGGAATTAGTGGCTCAGTAGAGTATTAACCTCTGCTGTAGCTTTTTAAACCTTGACTTTTCCAGTATCGGTCTCTGCCCGTGTTCAGTTCCTTCACTGTCTTCTGTTGTCACTTCTCTCATTCCAAATCCCTTTTTGTGTATTCTAAAGAAAACAGAGTGACAGTCATGGGGAGTGTTTTTCAACTCAGACTTTTTAAAAATGAAATCAACCCTGAATGCTCTTTCATGTTGGGAGTGTTCTGCCTAAAGTATATGGGTTTTTTTTTCCCCAGCAAGTACTTCTTGTCTGAATATTTTACTGTTTTTACAGTAGCAGGTTGTGCACATCAGAGTAGGCTAGTGGTTAGGAATATGAATTTGAAGTAGAAAATAATTAGGATCAAACTTTATATGCCCTTTCATGCTGAGAAAGGCAGTAATGCCATCATTTTGGTTGCTGTGAGGCATAAATGCTATAATAGATGTAAGTCACTTAATATGGTGCCCTTCATAAAAAGTTTTCTTATACAAGATGGTTTTCTAAGAGCATACTTTGATTTGTGTATTTACTAGAGGTTGCCAATTTGCATAAAGAGATAAAGTAATATAGAAGAGCAGTAATCTATGTGAGGTAATGCAAAGTGAGTCTTTCTCATCATTACAGAATCTGCTTCTTATCTACAAGAATAGGTTCTTAGAGATTCTTGCAAAGTGACTCTTTATACAATTTCATACCTAGAATGAGATGGGAGTCCCTCAGACCTGGGCCCTAAGGAGTACGAGTGTTGGGTTGGTGAAAGAATGTCCACTTTAGCTAGATGTTTAGATGTTTAGGCAAGAGAAGAGAAGGTTTACTAAGAGTACAGCAATCAGAAAGATTCAATGGAGAGCTACAGAAGTGGAAACCTCTGAGGCACTTTTTAATTATTTGGTTTGAGGACAACTTGTGAGTTTGAGGTTTCATACATTAGAAATGAAATATAAATTTCACCATTGACCATTAGCTAAATGATGGGGTGCCCTTGCTTGGGGTTTCAGGTGCCTGAGATTTTGCCATTGTTACTTAACTTGAATAGGAATGTGTGCCAAATTAATTTTAGTCTTTCTTGGAACAAGTAGAATCTGTAAGTTTCATCTTTCACATGGTCTGAACTAAGCCATGTGTAAGTTGGGCACTTGACCTCCTCATCCAGTGATTGTGGCCAATGTGGGCCTGATCTTTGTCTCAGATTGCCCAGTGAAGATAGTACCCACTGATCTGTTCAATTTGGTTGTTTTCAGAGACCTGAGTGACAACGCGATCATGTCCTTACAAGGCAATGCATTTTCACAAATGAAGAAACTTCAGCAATTGTAAGCTTTCCTTTTTCTTTGAAGAGTTTCATTAAAAGCACAGAGGGATAAACTGTGGTGGGCATTGTCTTCTCACATTCTGTTTCTATGAGTAGCACCTCGTATATTCTTCATATATCTTATTTTTTATACCACATAGTAAAAGGAGTTGATTATTTACTTAACTCAAATAGGAATGTGGGCCAACCTTAGCTTACAGGTTCTCTTAAATTGACTATACAATTCCATACCGAGAATGAGATGGGAGACCCTCAACCCTGGGCCCCAAGTGTGGAGTTGGTGAAAAAAGATGTTTCTTTGTTAAAAAGAGAGGTTTCTTTGTTTGAAAGAGATGTTTCTTTTTCTTTCGTTAGAAATCCTCAGCTTACATTGATGGGACCTAGTAATGTGCAATGTCTAATCATAAGTTTTGGGTAGTACAGTATTTTTGATACGTCAGCATATCTTCATATGACAGTAAAGACAGAAACCAAAAATCATTCTATGCTACGTTTTTTGCATTTTCAGAATTATAGACTGTCTGTTACATGGGATGTGCGTATTTGGTTTCCACATTTAGTGCATTGTTAATATTTACTTGAGTTTAGTTTACTTGCAGAAATCTGCATTTCATACAGAACAAATTGAATGTAATTACTCTCCTCAGGCATTTAAATACATCAAGCCTTTTGTGTGATTGCCAACTAAAATGGCTCCCACAGTGGGTGGCAGAAAACAACTTTCAAAGTTTTGTAAATGCCAGTTGTGCCCATCCTCAGCTGCTAAAAGGAAGAAGTATTTTTGCTGTTAGCCCAGATGGCTTTGTGTGTGGTGAGTTACCCTTCCTTTCCTTTTATTCATTCTTTTTTTTTTTTGCTCCATTTGTCCCAACAATGATTTTGAATACATTTATGTTCTTTTAATAAAGATTTTATTTTTGCCACAGTAGATAAACATGGATCTACAGCTTACTTTTTAATTTTACAGACAAGAAAGAGTTTCCTTAAGTGTCTTCCTGTTTTGGTGTCAGGGTGGTTTGGCTTGGTCGAATGAGAAGAACATTTTTAGGGTAGTTACAGCCGTTCTTCCTAACCTGTTCCCTGATACCTGTCTCTGTGAAAAGGAAACTCTCCTCTCTGCCCCCCATGCCCACAACTCTATAGGCTTACAGTGGAAGCTCACTGAGGAAAGTAAGGAAATGCTGTGTAAATGTTACTCACGCGTAGTAGAAAGATAAAACTAGTGATTTCAAACTGTGATGAGTGATGACAAACTACAAAAAATTCAACTATTGCTGGAGAAAGCATTACAAGTACTAGAAGATTTTTAACTTATTAAAAATAAATTTAAGGTCTATTGTTACAGGATCCAAAAATCTGGGTCTCAGAAATTGGCATATTTGGAGTGTACACTCAAGTTTTCCTTGATGTACTTTTTCTCTCTGTGTGTTGCTGCATGTTTTCATGGCCAAGACCCAGAGACTATAAAACCCAGCTCCTAGAAGCTATAAGGAAACTAACTTCTTACTATCTAGTTTTTACTCTTGGAGAACCCGACAGGCTACTGGGAGTATCCTGCCTGCACAGCAGAGTCTGGCAAACTCCCCGTGGCATATTCGTTATGCCAAAACCCAGTAACAATAATGGGTGTCATTCCCCTGACTGAAAGAGCCTTGAATGTGGCACCTTCTAAAATCTCAGGGCTAGGATGAAAGAGACTTTACTGGTGCCTGCTCGAGGAATGACAGTGATGCAGTGGTACAGTGTTATAGTGTGGCTGCATACTATTATATTAATTGACAGCCTTTTTTTTTTTAATGTGTGTTTAAAACTGGTCGAAAATTGTCATCTTACATTTTTTGTTTGTTACGGTATTTCATAATTGGCCTTTACATTTTTATTTAAATATGCTTTGGCTATGAATGTTTAGTTAAGTACAAGAAATGGATATTTTTAAGATTGTAGCATTAAACAATGTCAACTATTTCTAGAAATAAAACTTGTTATGTCGTTTTTGGATCCAAATGAAGTTTTTGGCATTTGTTTTTAAAGTCTTGAGCTATTCCGTTCCCATGGCCCCGGAGCCTTAGTTTTCTAGTCCCTAAATACGAACTCGCCATTACTTGAAGATGGATGTACAATATCCATAGATTTTTCACTTGTTTCTGGGTGAATCTCCACATTGTTCACCAGATAAGACTCTAAGAAAAATCATTCAGAAGCAGCAGCTATTGGTTCTTCTACCCTGCAAGAAGGCCGTTGGAAACTGGCCACAGGGGAATTATCAGAGCATCCCTTACACCCCGCTCATAACGTACACATTTTTTTCTCCCCCTGAGTTTACGCCATCTGTGAGAAATTGAAGTTAAAAAGGTAACTTGCAAAAAGTGAGAGAGAACTAAAAATAGCTCTTTGGAGTGAAAGTGTTTCTCAGCTCTAATTATAATGTAGCTCTGACAGTGTAGCACTGCAGCCTGAAATTGATTGTCCGCTCAAAACTAGGCTGAAGCCAGTGTCCCACAGTGAGTTTTGAAGATAACTTTTTCTTTCACTACAGGGATTCCCCCACCCCCACCCTCTTGCTCTAATTAAAAACTTCCCTTTAATACAACTTCTATTTTTCAGTAGATGTGATATTTATTATTACTGTCCGTAGTGATATCATTTTTGGTGTTTCATTTCTTAATTTTGCCCCTCCTCCTTTGTAGAAATTGAGGAAATTGCAGCTCCAGATAAAGGCATTGGGGCTGGAGTGATAGCACAGCGGTAGGGCATTTGCCTTGCACGCAGCCAACATGGCCGACCCGAGTTCGATTCCTCCGCCCCTCTCGGAGAGCCCAGCAAGCTACCGAGAGTATCTCGCCCACACGGCAGGGCCTGGCAAGCTCCCCGTGATGTATTCGATATGCCAAACACAGTAACAACAAAGTCTCCAATGGAGACGTTACTGGTATACTCCATCACCTCGCCACCTTGGGCCCGGAGGTGTGCATAATTTGCTCAAGCAAATTGATGATCAACGGGAGGGCCTTCAAGAATCATAAGCCCGAAAATTTCCTGTTTCTCACTTCTTTTTTTAAATTTAATTTATTGATTTTTAATTTTTTTTTTTGTTTCAACGATGCTCAGGGCCACTTCTGTGGTGCTCAGGAGACCATGTGGGGATTTGAACCAGGGTCATTCACATGCAAGGAAAGCACTGAATCCTTGTACTATCTCTCTGTCCTCGAGGAGTCTTTTATTTTTTATTTGTATTGCAAAACAGTACCGGGAATATGGTATAAGAAACTATAGTTCCAAAGAAATAGTCTTCTCTCAATAATAATTGATAAATGTGTCTCGGTCTCTATTTGAAAGGAGCAAATGACTTTATAAACATTCTTGCAGAGTTTCATTTCAACACTGGGACTGGTGGTTTATCTCTATAACATACACAAAGGCTGAAACCAAAGCCACTATTTGTTTTGAGTTTCGTGGTGTTCAAATCTGGGTAGCATTTGGGCTCTCCAGCTTTACAATTGTTTTGTTTTCTCCTCTCTATTTTGAACAGATGATTTTCCTAAACCCCAGATCACGGTTCAGCCAGAAACACAGTCGGCAATCAAAGGCTCCAATTTGAGCTTTATCTGCTCAGCTGCCAGCAGCAGTGATTCCCCAATGACTTTCGCTTGGAAGAAAGACAATGAACTATTGCATGATGCTGAAATGGAAAATTATGCACACCTCCGGGCCCAAGGTGGCGAGGTGATGGAGTATACCACCATTCTCCGGCTACGCAATGTGGAATTTACCAGCGAAGGGAAATATCAGTGTGTCATCTCCAATCACTTTGGTTCATCCTACTCTGTCAAAGCCAAGCTAACAGTAAATAGTATGTGATCTGACTTCTCCTTTTGCATCTAAGAGCAACAGATACATACAGACAATGCATGGTTTCATCTTCTTAACCCTATTTTCTGCTCTCATAGCTCCTCACCTGAACCTTCCTTTCCCTACTTCTCACTCCACATGATCAGGATTCTTCTCTGTACCCCTCGGCAAGCAGTTGGGTCAAAGATGCTCTGTTTAGCATGGTGGATAGCACTGGCTCAAGCAGGTACTTTTGCTTTTTGGAGTCACAGTGTACTCATCTGATATGAGAAGCAACACAGTATACTGTGTGAAAGCACACAGCCTTTATTTCCGAGGTCTGGGTTTGAATATGACCACTCTAGTTTATAGCTCTGTGACTCTTCTCAAGTTATTTAAGCTCCTGTTTTCAGTATCCACCTTTTAGGGGTAGGGTAATCACAAAACAAAATAATTTGTGAAAAAAAATCACAGAATTTCTGGAATACAGAAGTCCTCCACATATGCAATGAATTTTAACTACTATTAATGGAATTTTATCATTATTTTCAGTTTAAGACTCTGTAGTTAGGTTCTTGCCGCTTGTCTGCTTAATCATTTCTTTCCACCATGGGAAGAGATTTGGCTGTAACCAATTGATGCATTCATTTAACAAATGATTGCCAAGACCTGACAGAATTATGTTGAGTTTAAAAGTATAAGACAAAGATCTGTTTCATATCATAGTCTGTTACAAGTAGGAGAGACTTTTAATGAAAAATCATAGATGAAGTGAATGGTAAAGCTACAAAGAAATTTATCGATTTTCTCAATATCCGGTAATTACTGAAAAAACTAAAGAGTAAGCTGAAAATAGCACATAGCACAAAGACCTTTAGTCTGAGAATCAGGTTGCATGTGTTTCATACTGATTCCATTGGGTTTTTTTTTTTTTTTTTGGTACCTGGGTAACCTTGAGGAGTCATTTAATCTTTCTATTTGCACTTTAGTTTCTGTATCTCATAGGTAGAAATATTCCTGCCTTAGCTTATGTTGGGGACATTTGTAACCCTGTAAAAAATTGAAAGAATGAAAGTGACTCTCCAAAATTTGATAGCCCTTATGAATGGTTGTTTTTTGTTTGTTTGTTTTCCTGATTTCAGTGCTTCCTTCATTCACCAAGACGCCGATGGATCTCACGATTCGTGCTGGGGCCATGGCTCGCTTGGAGTGTGCTGCCCTGGGCCACCCAGCCCCACAGATAGCTTGGCAGAAAGATGGGGGCACAGACTTCCCTGCAGCCAGGGAGAGACGCATGCATGTCATGCCAGAGGATGATGTGTTCTTTATTGTAGACGTGAAGATCGAGGATATTGGCGTGTATAGCTGCACAGCACAAAACAGTGCAGGCAGCATTTCTGCAAATGCAACTCTGACTGTTCTAGGTAGGTAGGCGTTTCTAGATTCTGTGAGCCAGAGGAGCCTTAAACTGTAGTTTTCCCAAAGACCCAGAGGGCCAGAAGTAAGTGGTTCAGATGAGAGCTAATCCAGAGGGCAGAGACCTCACCTGAAGAGCACAGATGACCTCTTTGAGCTTTGAAGTCAGGTACACATTACATTTTAGAAGTTAGGGTCTGGTGAGGTGCTTCTGTGCCCTTTGGAGGAGGAGTAGGTTGTGATGCATCACCATTTGCAAGCATCAGCTTTAATGCTTCTGCTCTTTGCAGGATCAGCATCTTCTTACAAAGACATCTCATGCCAGCTGTGCATGTGCATGTTTGCCTCTGCGTGTGTGAGCTTCTTTGCATTTGTGTATGCACCCACACACAAGGGTGCACATGCAGGCAGATACATTCATACATAGGTTGTTTTCCTTAAGGTTATAAAAGTTATGGGAAAATGAAAAGCATACGAACAAATTGGGAAGGGCCTCGCTCACTCTTCTGTCTTTTGCCACTCTGAAATCAGTTTTTGTGTGTGGTGGAGTGGGGGTGAGGGGGTGCAAGTGGAGGCCTCCCAAGTATTGCTCAGGGACCCCACGGGGTACTTAGCTAACTGGGTCTAGTGGTTCAGTCAGTGGGGCCCAAGGATATGAAGTGGCTTGAGCCCTACGGTATAGGGATCTGGGATTTCAGCTGACGATGCTCAGAGGAGGTCAGGGGCTCAGTTCCAGGCCTGGACTTCTGCAGGGCATGTGCTCCTGACCTGATGACTGAACCATCCCTTCAGCCTCCTAGAGATCATGTTTTATCAAGTAGTTTGAAAGACACAAATGTCTTCATCACATGTACCCTGGGCACTCCAAATAATAAAAGTTATTTTCAGCATATAGGCCTGCATATTAAAACTACAAAGTTTCCTTCTGAGAATTGAATTTTTCTGATTTGTTTTTTTCTTATCCATCGACACACTCTTAGTGTTGAAATTATTTAAGTTTTTTTTTGTGCCATCTCTGTTTTTTTTTTTTTTTCCAGAAAATAGTTTAAATATCTTGCTTTGCTGGATGGAATTCCTCTTCCATCATTCCCCAGCCTTGTCAAGATTGAGGAAGGTCGAATTAAAACAAAAAGCTGGAAATTCTATCCTTGTGTGTGAGCCAGATAACAAAATAAAATCCTAACAGGCACACACATGTTTAGACTCTTGAAAGAAACATGTGAAGTTGTGAGAGAATAAAGCTTGAGGTTTCAGTTTGAATAAACTCAACATGCCCAGTTCACGATTTGCCAAACTTGATTTCTCCTCCCTTCAGAAACGCCATCATTTCTGCGGCCCCTGTTAGACCGGACAGTCACCAAGGGAGAAACTGCCGTGCTGCAGTGCATTGCTGGTGGCAGTCCCCCGCCACGACTGAACTGGACCAAGGATGACAGTCCTTTGGCGGTCACGGAGAGGCACTTTTTTGCAGCCGGCAATCAGTTGCTGATCATTGTGGATGCCGACGTCAGCGATGCTGGCAAATACACATGTGAAATGTCCAATACTCTGGGCACCGAAAGAGGCAACGTGCGCCTCAATGTGATCCCCACGCCCACCTGCGACTCCCCTCAGATGACGGCCTCTTCGCTCAACGACGACGGCTGGGCCACTGTGGGCGTTGTGATCATCGCAGTGGTGTGCTGTGTGGTGGGCACGTCCCTCGTGTGGGTGGTCATCATCTACCACACGAGGCGAAGGAACGAGGATTGCAGCATCACCAACACAGGTGTGCAGATAGAGGGCTGGCATAGGCCACTCTGTGTGTATATGTGTGTGTGTGTGTATGTGTGTGTGTGTATATGTGTGTGTGTGTGTGTGTTTCCCAGGGGAACAGTGTGTGTGTGTGTGTGTGTGTGTGTGTGTGTGTGTGTGTGTGATTCCCAGGGGAACTTTTTTCTTGCATGTGTGTGTCTCTGGTAGTCTGAGGCCATGTCAGCAGGGTGACTCGGTGACTCGTTTGTTTCAAGTTGCAGAAATATGACTAGTGAAAGATAACACCCCGCCCCATACGAAAGCTCTTTAAAGATGAAGTTTGGGTTGGTCTTCTTGGGGGTTTTGTTTGGTTTGGGGCCACACCCAGCTGTGCTCAGTTGTTACTCCTGCTCTGCACTTAGGAATCACTCCGGGCAGTGCTTGGGAAATTATATGGGATGCTGAGGATCGAACCCGGCTTGGTCATGTACAAGGCGAATGCCCTACATTCTGTCCTATTGCTTCAACCCCTTCCTTTTTTTTTCCCTTTAAAGTTGCTTCATAATATCCTACCAATTGTAAGATTTTTTAAATCAGTAAAACCACAGTGATGTCTTTGGATATGCTTAAGAACAGCCCTTTGGCTCTTTGATGATGAGATTCACTCTCTGCAATAGTTTTGTGTTTTGTTGACTGTGTGAACTTGCGTGTACACATCTGCACCCTCACAACCATGCTGGCATCTTAGGATACTCCTAGTTACCAATGGAAGAAAGGCAATTTCCTGATTAATAGGTACAAACACCTATTTCTGAAGACTGTTTAGCCAGGAATTTGGCAGAAATGATGCCAAAAGTGAAGAGCTTAGATCCTGTCCCATGAAAATTCTTAAGGTTTGAACTGCTCAGACACTGAGGACTTTGATGTTTGGGGAGAGACATCCAACAGGCGATAAAGCAGAAAATAAGAAAATTATATTTCCCAGAGCAGCAGTGCCCTAACTGCCTTACCTGCTCCATCAGGATGCTTTTGCAGCTTTATTTGGTTTGCACTGAAATCAGCATACAGAGATCCTCAGGGCAGCCCCTGGGGCAGTTACAAATCACTCTTGCTTAATAAAACACTGCAATTTGATTACAGATGAGACCAACTTGCCAGCAGATATCCCGAGTTATCTATCATCTCAAGGGACGTTAGCTGACAGGCAGGATGGGTATGTGTCCTCAGAAAGTGGAAGCCACCATCAGTTTGTCACTTCCTCAGGAGGTGGATTCTTCTTACCACAACATGACAGTAATGGTAAGTGTTAGAAATGAATGTAGGCTTAGTTATTTTTAGCTATTATTCATATGGAAAGCTCAGATATATTTATTTTCCTTAGAATGTGATACTGTAAGCATGTTTAGAACCTGACCCAAGATCACTATCAGAACTATCAAATTAAATGATTCCCTTCTAAATACTAGGAAAATCTATTAAAAAAAAGATAAAGAGATTAAAGGAAAGTATAATTTTTATAGCACTGTAACATTGTAAATGTTCATTGACACACCTCCTTCTCCCAAATGAGACCACATATTATGAGTTCAAGACCATTTTTTATTCTTAATAAATTAAACCGTTTTTCTATTAGCTGGTGTAAAAATTAAATAAGGTGATAATGAAAAGCTACATGGTGCTTGGCACTGGGTAAAGGAAGCTGTTGACATTACTCTCAAATATATTGTCTTCCTGTGGGAAGCATTTATTGACTATCTGCTTTGTGACTGACTGCTGTAGAGAGTGAAGTATATTTATTTACTTTCTTGGTGAGACCAAAAATTAAACAAATAGGTACAGAACTCTTGGCATGGCAGTGATGTGGAAGAGACTATCTTAGCATAAAAGTGAGCATTCTTGTTAATCGGACCTGGTTGCAAGAACACAGAGGCCCAAAAATGTTGAAATTTAGCAGGGCTAACTGAAAAGACATTTACAGAAGCCTAAAGCAGAACTGAAGTGTCGTAGTACCTAAGTAGCCTGGGTGCTGATCCTGGGATTTATGACCTCTTAGGGCAGCTGAGAAGCCCCCAGCATTACTGAGTCCAGTTCTGCATGGTTGCTTCCCTCTGAGACTGTCTCCACCACTTGTCTCTTCCCTTCCCACATTCCGAAGTATGAGTCTCAGCAGTGCATTTCTAAGCTTCATGAAATCTCTTGTCTTCATCACTGTGTCCACAACTGGCCTCTCACTTCTCAGCTATTTTGTTCTAGTAATAATATTATGGTAGGATTTTTCTTTTTGGCTGAGCTCACCTTTCAGCCCAGTATTAAGTGGACCCTGTTCTGGATGGAGGGAAGCAGCCAGTACAGATGGTATCAGGTGATTTGAACTATGAACTGCTTTGGCTGCAGGATTTACACGCTGCTCAAACTTGGAGCTGGTAACAAGATTTATGTGTACCATTCAGTGGTTAATCAAATCCTCCTTTAGTCAGATGTCACAAGTTTATTTAGTTTCTGATCCATAGATCTCAGTATTTTTTAAACCCAGCTAAACATTTCTGTAGCTTTTTAAAAAAAATTCTCTAAGCACTCTTATAAAACTTGCATTTATAAATATAGAGAATGCCAAAACTGGAGGGAATGTTGGATAGTACACTGACCCAGATATTTACTTTAAAGGAACATGCCATATTGACAACAGCAGTGAAGCAGATGTGGAAGCTACCATGGATCCATTTCCATGCTCCTATTTGGGGCTCTCAGGCCCTGTGTATCTGAAGGGGAATGTCTATGGCTCAGATCCTTTAGAAGCTTACCATACAGGTAATCTTTTCCTTGTCTCGACATCTGTTCTGGTTCCCGGAGTGACAACTAGAAATGTTAACTCTTTCTCCTTCTCTATTTTCCCAAAATATTAAAGGCTGCAGTTCTGACCCAAGGACAGCTTTAATGGATCACTATGAACCCAGTTACATAAAGAAAAAGGAGTGCTACCCCTGCCTTCATCCTTCAGAAGAGACAGGTGAACAGAGCGTTAGTGAGCTCGGATGGCCCTCACATGTCAGAAAGCTGATCAGCTCTACTCACATTCAAAACGAAGGACCTGGAATGAAACCTTTGTGTCTAAACAAGTCCTCTTTAGATTTCAGTCCAAGTCCAGAATTAGCTTCAGTTACTCTGAGTAACTCTTTTATGGGTAAGTTTATTGTTGGGTATTTGGACTTATCATATTCCAAGTTGCATGTAGAAGAGCAATGAGAGTTTTGAATGCAAAATTGGTCAAAAAAAGTTTCTTTTTTGATGAAACTATCGTGACCTATTAGTATATATGTTTCTAAAAGCAAAGTCAGATGTGGAGAAATTTTACTTGATTATGTATTTAATCCATAACTAAGCCTCAGGGGCTTTCTGGGTAACACTGTGTGTGGCATCATCAAGAAGACAAGAATTTAGAGAGACTGAAGGGTTCAGTTTGTCAGCCATGTGGAAAAAGTGGTTTTGGGCTATAGCAGCCTTTGGGGTGGAGTCGGGAGCACTGCATGATTGTGGTTTGGGATGTCTGGTGGCTTGACTCAAAGTCAAAGAATATAGATGCCTTTTTACCTTGCTCACCAGCTCAGCTGACTTGCCTTGGTCAAAGGCAGTCAGGGGAGCCTTAAGGCCCATGCTGGTGGTAGACACAGGCCGGCTCCCAGACTCAGTCTGTACACAGTGACAATGGGGTGAAAAGAACTGAGGTTATCCTTTCATTAAATGGAGAGATACAAAATAAAGCCACAGCTTGGTATTTACTTACAAAAATAAATAAGATCTTTAACATATTTTTGCCCTGCTTTTGAGAAATTTTGTTTTTTATCACAATACAACAAAACAAATCATACTGCTTTTTTTACAAAATAAAATACCTTTCATGTGACTGAGGCAAGAATTTGAGTCAATTGAGTGTTCTGAAACTAAAGAAGAAAGGGATAGACATGAGATTTGCGTCATGAAAAATCAACATCTGTGTATGCTACATTAAATTCATTACTGACAATTATTGATTTTGAAAGATACTGAGAGGCATTTTGTAAATTTAGACACCAGTAACTTGTAGGTTATTATTTAAGCACCCTTCCTGGTGAATTGTGGACTCTTGGTTACTAAAGCTTGAATTTGAGAACACTTGTTTTGTAGATCCTCATTGCTTATTATTCTATAGATCATGAATAGTGAGAAAGAATGGATACACTTAATAAGGGGATTAAGTCAATCAGGTGATTAATCAATAAGAGTCGCATAGATCCTTGACTTAATTCTGTAAGTACAAATCGTGAAACCATATCCATAGCCAGTTGAGTACCATAAAGTGCACTTGTAGAAAATTTAAGTCTCTGGTGTTCTGGGGATAAGATACTACTCATCTGAAATGTCTTTGGTTCATTTACTTGCACGTCCAGTGCTCACAGTGTTTCTTTCTTTCAGGAACATTTGGAAAGCCTCTGCGAAGACTGCACCTGGATGCCTTTTCAAGCTTTGGACAGCCGTCAGAGTGTCAACCTAGAACCTTTTACATGAAAGCTCATTCTTCCCTGGACTTGGACTCTGAGTCAGAGGAAGAGAGGAAAGAAAGGACAGAATTTCAGCAAGAAAATCATACAGGTGCCTATAAACAGACCTTAGAAAACCACAGGACTCCAAATTTTCAGTCTTATGACTTGGACACATAGACCGAATGGAACCAAAGGAAAGTTCTAACATACTACCTCATGTGGACTTTTATTTAAAAGAGAATCCTATGCTTTAAAATGGAGTTATGAATTTCAAAAGGAATAAAAAACTATTTATATAAATGGACTAAAATTACAAAAGGTTACAAAATTTTTATACTGGGATTAACTTTCATATAAGAGTACCTTTTAAAACTATTTTATAACTTGTGTGTTTCATGAAAAGAGGTATCTTATGTAAATTAATGATATAAATCCATGAATATTTTATGTATTTTTATAATGCCAGATTTCTTTTCATTGAAAATGAGTACTAAAGCATTTTAAATAATATCTGTGTTGTATTTTTTTTGATGAACAGATTTTTTTATTTTATTACACACATTTAATAAAATGTGTCATTATGATATTAAGCACCATCTATACAATAATTAGTTTTATTCTTTCCAGTACATTATAAGCTTTATTTTATATTATCTCATTGTTACTAAGATTGATGAAAATCATATTTAGCATATTAAAATTGAGCCAAAAAAAGGCCATTTCATCTACCTCCTAGAGTTAGTGTACTACAGGTTCAAATCAGATTAGTGTATGTGAAAGCGCATTGTAAATAAAAAGGAGCTACAGAGCTGTGGAACACATTAAATGTACCTAACGTTTATCTCTAACTCTACAAACAAAAGGAGATTTGTTTTAATAGTCATCTGATGTAATATAGTACAACTACCATTGCCTAAAATCACTGTTCTAGTCAGGTTTCCTTAATTACCATAATGCCTTATGTGGTCTAATGCCTTATGCTTTTACAAATAGTTTCACATTCATCATCCTTTTAATTATAACAAGAAAGCAGTTTATTGAACATTTTTATAGTCACAATGGCTTTAGCAGAGGTGAATTTTCATCTACTGTTCCATGTTATATATAATGTGATGCTAATAGAATTGTTTGCTGTTCTTAGTGATTTTTCTCTTGGATGAACTGTTATATAATAGAACTATTCTCCAATATTCTTTAAGTATTAAAATATTGTCATAATTTTTATCATCATAGCTCTATTTATTGAAAACTATCAGATCTGTTAAAACATAGAACTATTTAAATTACTTGTTCTGAACAGTAGGTGAAAACGTCATAATATACCTCTCACATTAGACCCCCCAAAGGCAAAGACCATCATTTGCAAAATTAAATGACATAGATTGAAGTACTTCAATAAAATAAATTTATTAAATTTAGGTAGTGAAACTGGATTTTTTTCCTATAGTAAGTCTTGGTTGTGATTTAAAAAAAATCTTTTACCCAAAATAGATTGGCACAAAAGGAGTTAATGTGACACATTAAGCTTTAAAATCTGCTAATTATGGAAGGTGTGAGATCATGCCATTGTCAGTTCTTTGAACTAAATTGAAAACGGCTAATAGAAAAGCAGATTCTTCCAAGAGGGTATTTTTGGAAGTTAAATTTTCTTGCTTAGTGTAAAGCTTTGTTGTTTGTGAGCCAGAAGCCTGGAACCCAGATTTCGGTAATATTTTCCTCTTCCAATTTAGACACCAGAGTCCAAGATAGGAAGTTGATCCTTCATTAGACCAAGACCACCAGTGACTAAGTGCTGAGAAGTATTTCGTATGCTTTGGCTTTATCAAATTGCCAGATTTTCAAAATCATATTGTTAATTTGTCTTCATTATTGCCAGATGTGATGCAAACATTGATAGGGGCCTATTCAATGATTACAGACTTCTTTTAAAGGACTTCATTTTTCCAGACTTGAGCATGAAGGTTTAAATCATTAAGTCATAAAATTCAAAAATGAAATTTGGTCTACATCAATATAATTTTCCTTTTACTCAGTTTATGTGCTGAAAATCATAGATTACATATAATAAGATGTCTGGAAAAGATGAGGAATCAATTTATCTGACATTTGCACAAAAAAAAATAAAATTTTGAGACTCCATATTTATTGAATTTAGATGAATCGAGTAAGTTTTAAAACATCCTAAAATAACAAACTAAAGGAAAAATGTAAAAAAAAAGGCATATTTCTGGGATTATTTATGAGGAATTATACTTTAAAATCTTAGTTTGATCTTTCAGTACCTTCTGATAAAAATTCAAGAGCATTGTATTTTAGCATGTTTGTGAAAGTTTTGTAATCTATCTTGATACTTAACAGATAGTTACTAGAGTTTGTTTGTTTGTTTGTCTTTTTATTTGTTTTTGTTTTGCCTTTGGGTACCACACCTGGCAATTCTTAGGGATTAACTCTGGCTCTGCACCCAGGGATCACTCCTGGTGGGATTTAGCATCAAACCCTGGAAGACCATATGTGCTACCAGGGATTAAACACTGGTTGGCGGAGTGTGAGGCATTGACCAAGTGTGATGCAAGCAACCTGCCAATTATACATAATATCCCCAGCCCTTATAGTCATATTTTTAAAAAGATATATTTTTAGAGGTAAAGCATCTTACAAAAGATAAATTTCTAAGAAAATTTACAATTTATTTTTATAGTACTCCAATAGAAAGAAACCAAAAGTTATTTCTCAAAACCAATAACATTTTTTAAGATTGATAACTGAAAAGGGAACGTGATCTGAGCACTTTAGGTCATTGATTTAATATGATTGTAATACACATTACAATAAATAGGTGTGCTACACTGGTCATTTTCAGAGAATACCAACCACCCTCGTATGTGATTGCAAAATGCCCTCTTTGTCCCTGCATGTCCCCCCTCTTGGAGTCTGTAGTGACTGGACATAGGATAACTTAGACTCGCTATTTTTTAAGACAGCATTCTGTTAACACATTGAATAACACAATGTTCTGCCAAAAACACTATTAGTCTTCAAAGAGGGGTACAGTTTCTTCATGAATAATTTCAGTTCTCAAGAAATATTCAGTTACCAGAACTTATCTCTTCCACGAGGCATTTCTTAATCTAATGTATAATAAGAGAGTACTGAAATAGTCTTGAGAGATTTGAGACTTGACCTAAAATGACACGGAGGGTTTTTTTTAAAAGTTGGCTTTTCCTTCTAATGGAGAAGAAAGTTCACCTACAAAAGTTTTCTGAATCATACCAGTATTCTTAAATATTCTGGATCTATTTTTTAAAATAAGATATTGGTACAAAGAGGCTTTTATTTAAGTAAGGGCTTTAATTTTAATTGAGGTATATTATCAAGATAAAATATGAATGTCCTAGAGTTAGAAATTTTTTCAATAAGATTGATTCTGGCTGTTGAAAAAATTGCAAGTTCATTTTCCGTTCCTCTCTAGTGCTGAGGGACTGAACTCATAGCATCCATAAGATTGATACTCATGAATATAAGGAAATAGAACATTTAATATATGAATAGTTTAATTTTTTATTAGGATGAATTTTTGTACTCCAACCTTTTTTCTTTAAATTTTTAATTTCTAATTTATTATATTTTAATAGGATAACAAGTATATAATGTAAAGTTTATAATAATATTTACATTTATGATGATTATACACAGTTCTTATACTGTTTCAGCTTATTTTGTGAATTTGGGTCTTTTCCATTTAGTAGCCAGTGCTGACAACAGGGATTAAATTTTTATCAGTACCAATCAGGATGGCACTTATTAGGAACTTGTAGAATTGCTGTTTCAGGGTGATTGATTGCCAGAGAGTACTGAAATTGTATTTGCTATCTTAACCCTTTCCATTTTGAACCTCTGTTCACTAATCTGGGCAGTAGGTTTTCAGATATCAAGTGAAAGGATTTAGCAGTTGTGTTCTTAGAAGTACATTTTAAAATAATTGTTGAGAATACTATTTTTGCCATAAAATCATGTTTTATTTGTACCCACATATAAATAACACCAATTATATATAATATAAACAGAATTACTTTGAGAACATTATTGGCACTTAAATATGTTCAAACAGAAGGCATTAGAAGCTGAGACTACACTTTAAAGAATAAGACAAAATGATAACTATTAGAATTTCCAGTGTCCTGCAATTATTTTCTCATCTTCCATGATTAACTTCTGGTTTTCAATAATTTAAATTTTGAAATCTAACTTCTAATACTTCTCAAGATGATTACCTTTGTTTAAAAATACTGTTCCCGTTAGACTGGAACCATAGTACAGCGGGTAGGGCATTTGCATTGGGCCTACCTGGATTTGATCCCCGGCATCCCATATGGTTCCCCAAAGCACCTCCAGGGGTAATTCTTGAGTGCAGAGTCAGGAGAGTAACCCCTGAACTCCACAGGGAGTGGTCCCTTTCCAATAAATAACGAAATAAATAAATAGATAAACCACTGCTGCTGGGCTGCAGAGATAGTTCAAAGGACTAGCATATGCTTTGCTAGCTGAAGATCCGTACTTCAGTCTCCAGCACCACATGGCTCCCGAATGCTGCAAGTTGTGCCTCCTTCAAATATTTAATAGTCTGCATATGCAAGTAAAAATGAATAAATTTCTCATTCTAATCACTAGTGGCAACGGAAGTAGGTTATAATACCTGTGGACAATGTGCTCAATGTTACTGCTTCGAAGAGCCCTATGACTAAACACTAATTATGTTTTTTCAAGTTTGGAAAATTTGAAAACATTGTACATTCACTCAGTATGTCTTGAGATGAGCTGATTGTCTGTTTGCTTCAACTGTTTGCCAAAACAATTCAAGTTCTGGTAGTCTCTTATTTCTACATTAGTCATCACTATTCCTGTTGATTTTGCAACTGAATTTTCTCTTATGAGTTCCATTATTACTATCGCAACCACATTCCTCCCCTTTTCTCTCTATCTCTTGAATTTCTTTTATTCCTGTCTTTCTTTTACAGTTATTTCAGTTACCAGATTTTTTATTCAAAAATAGACTCAGTTGGTCACTTTTCTATTTCAAAATCTTTGATAAACTTGTACTTCTAATTTCATCATTACAGTCTTTCACACATTGAGTTCTAGTTCACCCTTCTAACTATGTTCTCTTTCCCTGCTTACTTCCAATCTTCAACACTATAGCATTGACTTAAGTCCTTAATCAGACCTGTGTCTTTATTTTTACATCTGTACAGCTCAGAGTTGAAATTTGGTAGCAATACCATGTCAGTTGTCCGTGTACCTATATTCTCATTTTTGGTTCATCAAATCTTCTTTTGACAGCTATTGTGCCAGTTGCTAACTTTGTTACATAGAATAACACCACTCAAATAAGTAGCCCTCTCCATAAAACTTCTCGATAGAAACCATATGCTAATACTGAAAGTTATTGCTGTATTTTGTTCTTTAGAAAGTTAATACTAAAAATTTGACATGCATTAACTTCTCTGGGCTTTCTCTGCTCCATTTCCTTCCTTTCCCCCTTCCTTCCTTCACTCCTGTCTTCCTTCCTTCCCTTTTCTGTCCTATTAATATA